TCATCTGATTTCAGCAGGTGGCGCTGTGGGGCGTGTTCCTGAGCCTGTTGGGGGAACTCAGCTCTCAAACTGTCTCCTGGGGCTCTGCACTCCCTGGGGATTAGAAACTGTGACCCCTAGCACCCTGGAAGCTGCCCCACCTCCACCTCCAACTCAGCTTTCATCAAACCTAGGCCCAGGGGCAGATGGGGAAGGGGATGATTTGCATAAAGGGCTTCTTTGTATTCTCCCATCAGGGGAAAATAAGAGGGGCTCTGTGCAGTTGTCTCCCTTGTTAGCTCCAGATAGGAGTCTAGCGTATCTCTGCAATGGCCTGTCCTCCTGCCCTCCTCCTCTTCCTGCTAGCTCAGTACCCAGGTGACTGACAATGGGAACCTGGGAAATTATTATGCAGGAGACCATGATCTGGGTTGAGGTACTGTGGTGGTGGGAAAATGCTTTGTTTTGAGAAAAGGCTTGGCTAGTAACTGTCTCACCTCTGTGTCTCCATTGCTCCATTCCAGGCTCCTGGGCACAGACTGGACTGACGCAGGAAGTCTCAGTGTCAGGGTCTGTGGGAAAGACAATCACCCTCTCTTGCACTGGAACCAGCACCAATGTCCATGCCTATAGTACAGGCTGGTACCAGCAGATTCCTGGTGCTACCCCCAAAACTGTGATGGTTGGAAGTGCTCAACCTACAGGGATCCCAGCTTGGTTCACTGGTTCTAAATCTGGAAACAAGGCGACACTATCTCAGACGTGCAGCCTGAGGATGAGGCTCATTATTACTGTTCTACGGGCGTTCGCCTTACAAGCGGCCAACATGGCCGACCTGAGTTCGATTTCTCCGCCCCTCTCGGAGAGCCCGGCAAGCTACCGAGAGTATTTGATATGCCAGACACAGTAACAACAAAGTCTCCAATGGAGATGTTACTGGGCCCGCTCGAGCAAATCGACGATCAACGAGAGGGCCTTTACCTTTACCTTTACATGGGATACAGTATCAACAGTGTCACAATGCTTCAGACTCAAGGGAAAATGAGACAAAAACTCAGCCCTGGTCTAAGTGATTCCCCCCATGACAACCGGTCAAACAGGAAATAGAGCTGTCAAGACTGTTCTGTCTGAATGTGACTCTGAACATAGTCCCACTGAACAGGGTCAATGATTGCTCCTGCTTCTCAGACTGGGTGTGTTTAATAGCCATGCCTAGATGTAACCTATTATTAATCATGCATAAACTCATTTACAGTGCTCAGTTCAATTGTGCTTCGTGAATTGACAGATGTACATATTCAACACCAAAATCTAATTTTCCAAAATTTCCATCATCTTGGAAAAAAATTTCAGACCCATTAGTGATTCTTCTCATCCTACGCCACCCTACACATTCCAAGGAAATCATTAATCCATGTTCAAACTTTATGCTTTTTTCTATTCTGTATATTTCTCATGGATAGGATCGAAAATCTTGTGGTACTTTGCACCAATTTTATTTTATTTTCATTTTTATGGCCAAATATTTCTAATCCCAGGCATGATGCAGCATGATACAATACTTTATTCTGCTACTGAGTTCCCACTGGTTGACAACCTGCAAACGTTTCAGATGTGTGGCTTCACACCTGCTTTCAGTATAGACTGTCTATCACTGCCATCTCCCATCCAGTTTCCATCCATCTCCATCAGCTACTTCCCCCATGTAACCCCATGCCACTTCCACCCCATTCCATGCCCCTACCCCTTTCCCTCAGCTAGTCCCAAACTGTTTCAAAATCTGAAGATTTACTCTCCTGTTGGTTTGTTCTCTATTCGGGATTCTATTTCATCTTTGGGCAAATTGAAGTAGTGTTTGTCTTTTCCAGCTAATAAATTGGACTAAGCAGAGTAACAATCCAGGTCCCTTTGCAAAATTGTATTCCACTATATGAAAATACCATGTTTTGGTTATTGGCTCAGCTGAACATGCTCATTTGGGCCATTTGAAAACAGCCCTTTGCTGTTTGCTCTTATGTAAAGGGCTGCAGAAGCATTGGTGTACTAGTTTTCATTAGTTTAAATGTAAGTTTTCACCCCAAGAGGTAGAATGGTCAAGCCATTTGATAATATTCTAGATGATCATGGGTGGTCACATGTGTATTTCCAGAAGTCACACTGGTTTACTTGTGTACCTAGAATGTATTACAACATACAATCTATGAGGCTTCCAAATTCTCTGCACTTTCACTAACAGTTGCTGATATCTCTGACTGTTGTTTGATTCCCTTACCGACTCCCCCCACCCACAGTTTGAGAGAGTTGTCTCCCATGCAGTAGTAGCATGCACTATAAGAAAGAAAGTAAATCAGATAGGAAAGACATCACACAAATGCTTCTCTTTAAGGTATTGGATCCAGGGCAGCCTAGTGGAGAACAGTCTAGCACCGTTCCAGCAGAATAGTTGCAGGCATTTTGGCTTTTGTCAGTATCAACCCAGAAAGAATGATTCCAGAGGCTAACTTTATCATTCAAACATCTGACATTTTATTGACTGGTTGCTTATTTATTCATTGGTTTGTTTTTGGGTCATACCCACCGATCCTTAGGGTTACTCCTGGTTCTGCATTCGGGAATTGCTCTTGGCAGTCCTTGGAGCACCTATGGAATGTTCGGCTCACTGGTTGCAAGTTAAATGCCCTGCCCACTATGCTATCGCTCTGGCCCCCAACAAATATCTGGCATTTTATAGAGAATTACAACGACTTACAAGTAGAATTGACATCATTGAAACCGATATATCATTGGTATTTAAAAGTATTATTCACCAAACTCCATAAAACCACATTCTATGTAAGATAGAGAAAACAACAAGGCTTCAGTTCTAGTAACATAGTTACTATTAAACAAATTAGAGACTCCTTCTCTTTTATTTGGTTTGTTTTGTGGCCATGCCCAGTGGTGCTTGGGACTTAGTGCTTTATTTCTGCCATGGGGTCACTCTTGGAAGGGCTCAGAGTAACCATATTAGGTGCCAGCCATTGAAACCCTGTCAAGTTTCAATTGCAAGGTAAGTGCCCAATCCACTATACTATTGCTCTGGCCCTCATACAGTGTCTTTTAAAGCCAATATGCCTTCTAATTTTTCAGGCAAAATTTGCCTGTTTTGTCACAACATCAATTTGGGATCCAGGAATATTGGAACAATGTGGCCAATCAAGCATGTAAGAGAGCTATGGCAAGCTTGTTCAATACCTTTTAAGGAAACTTTCAAAAAGTAATGCAGGTTTTTCAGTATTATTAAGCATTTAAGTAGTTCCTAAATTTTGTGATATCCTTATATATTTTATATTTCTTTTTCACAACACAACTAAAGTGAGTGATTAAAATATATTGGTTTACATATGCTATAAAATGAAATAATATAAAATAGGGCAGAGCCTGGAAAGCTTTCCGTGGCATATTTGTTATGCTGAAAACTGTAATAATAATGGGTTTCATTCCCCTGACCCTGAATGAGTATCCAATACAGCACCGTTGGGAAGGACAAGTAAGGAGAGGCTGCTAAAATCTCAGGGCTGGGACCAATGCAGACCTTACTGTTGCCCGCTCAAGCAAATCGATGAACAATGAGAGGACAGTTATACAGTGATACAGAGAATATAAAATAAAGCACACACATAATTAGATGCATGATGGGTTTTATGTGCACACCCAAAAAAATCCCACTAAGAGAGGAAAAGGGTTAACATGATCCTTTAGAAAAAAATTTTAAAATAGAAACCAATAGTATTTTTACACAGGTAAGATTTCTATTTCTGCACTTCCCCAGGATTATTTTCTGAATAATAGTAATAATAATAGTAATAATAATACAATTGCAAACTCAAGGTTTATACACGCTCATTGCAGACATCACAAATATTCAGAATGGCAAAAAAAAAACCTCATAAGGAAATTTATAGATTTTATTTGCCTTTTTGTGGCAGTAGAGGCCTCCTAAGAGACTAGGGTTTAATTCGGGAATTCTCAACCCACTTTATTTCCCCCAATTCCTTATACTCCCCAAGGGCCTTGCACTCACTCTCCACAAACGAACTCTGTTGCTACCATGTAAACTCTTCCACAGGCCTTGCTCCAGAGACCAAGAAATTCATCTCAAAGAGGTCAGAAAACTGTAGTAAACCTCAGACCCATGCATGGCTGAATAATATATGGCCCATCGGAGGGGTCAGGTTAGCCCAGTGTCCACCCAAACAGAGCCCCTGACAGCCACTTGCACCCATAATCCAACCCTACTGCCGTGCCCCCAGCTGGACCGCACCATCTCGGGACAGACCTCACAGAGATAGCAATCTGCTGAAAATTCGGTATGCTGGTTTTGTGACTGAATTCTCTGGGCTTTTCTTGGAGTAGGGATGGGCTGCTTGCCCTCACCACCCTGCACTTCTAGAAGCCTCAGCAGTCATTACACACCCCAAAGCATCCACCCAGCGATAAAAGCTACTTCAGCTTTACCTTCCTGAGAAAAATACTGAATTGCCTGAACAAACACGATGATCTCTTAGTATCTGTATTGAAAACCATAATACACAAAGGGAGAGAGAGAGAAAGAAGGAAGTTTCCTGCAGTATAGGCAGACAGGGTGGGAGAAGTGACAGGAACAAAAGTGGGGACATTGGTGTGGGAAATGTACACTTGTCAAGGGTCTTGAGACATTACATAGCTGAAACACTATCATTAAAGACTTTGTAACTGGGTATCTCTGTGATTCAATTCAAAAAAAGGGAAATATTTTGAAATATAAATCAGCAAAAGAACAAAAAAAGAGCAAAAAAGAATCTGTCATGACCCAAGGCTAGAGCAAAAATAGAGGAAGATCTCACTCTTCTGTGCAAAAAAAGGAAACAAAAGAAGGTAGTCCCTGTCATATTGCATGGAAGTCATATTTTCTAATCTAAGATGCCTGTAAATCTGGGTGATATTATTGGGAAAAGCTGTTTATTGATAACCCATGAATTTTTGTGTTCTGACTGTGACAGGCTACTCTGACACCTATGTAATGAGAGTTAAATTGGACAATGGGCAGGAGAGGGCGCTGTGGATCTTCAGTAGGGTTTGCAGAGAGAGGACCTCTGTGTGAAAAATCCTCCTAGCCACACTCAACACCCTGGGCTCAGTTTGGTGCTTGTGTGGCTGGTGGGGAACTCAGCAGCAGTGCTGCCTCTGGCTGGGCAGAATCTCCTGCTCAGGTCACTGTTAAAATCTGGCAGTTGTTTCCCCCTTAGTGTCACAGGTATATTTGAGACTCATCATCAGACCCTCTGACCAGGTACATCTGGTACCTCCCTTGAGAGGAACATATATGTAGTCATCCCTGCTATGTAGTATATAACATATATCATGTACATAACGTAGATAGCATTATAAGGAAACAACAAAAACTAAGTCAACAGAAACTGAGAACTGTTCTTTATCAGGAAGCATATCACTGTTGAGATGGGGTGATAGGACAGGTATTGGGGAGAGACACTGGGGCATGATGGAAGGAAGCTCGCAATCTGTTGGAGGTGCAGTGTTGGAATGTGCCTTTGCCTGGTACCCTCCTGTTGTCAATATTTTCAGCCAAAGTGCCGAAAATAATTTAAGAAATTTAAAATATATTCAAAAAGGGAAAGAAAGGAAGAAAGAAAGAGAAGAAAGAAAGAGAAAGAAAGAAAGAAAGAAAGAAAGAAAGAAAGAAAGAAAGAAAGAAAGAAAGAAAGGGAGGAAGAAAGGAAGGAAGGAAAATAGAAGAAAGAAATACAAATACAGATCTCAGATGGTACTAAGGGTGATGCAGAGACCTCAAATATGGGCAATAAATTTGCATGAACAGCCCCTCCTCCTTGATGGCTCTGATGGAGATATGAGATGCCTGTGCCAGCCTAGCCTCAGCTCAGGGTCTCAGAGGGTCTGTGTGCAGGATGGCCTGGATTCCTGTCCTCCTTGTACTCTTCTGTCACTGTACAGGTAGGGATGTGCCACAGAGATCCAGATAAACTCATATTAAGTGTGCAGATCTCTGGCTCTGAGTGTTAAGGTTCTCAACCTGGTCTCTGTCTAGCACTGTTATGTGTCTGTGTTTGCAGGTTCCCTCTCTCAGCCTGTACTGACTCAGCTGCCCTCCCTCTCGGCATCTCCTGGAACAACTGCCAGAGTCACCTGCACTTTGAGCAGTGGATTCAGTGTTGGTGATTTCAGGATCAGGTGGTACCAGCAGAAGGAAAGCAGCCCTCCCCGGTATCTCCTACACTACTCCTCAGAATCAGACAATGGCCATGGTCCTGGGGTTTCCAACCGCTTCTCTGGATCCAAAGATTCCTCTGCCAATACAGGGATTCTGCTCATCTCTGGGCTGCAAATTGAGGATGAGGCTGACTACTACTGTGCTATATACCATGGTAACTCAAAATCTTTCACAGTGGTCCATACTCATAGGGAAGTGAGATATAAACCTGCCCACAGTTCTGCTCTGTACATAAGTTGTGTCCAGGATCTTTCTCCCTTCCCCAACACTAGTGTGGGTTCACATAGCTGCCAGGCTGAGCTCCCCAGACTACCTCGGTCCAGGATCAGATTTCAGGACACAACCATAACCAGTCAGCAATGATGCTGACCCCACAGACCCTGATGACGCAGGTCCCTGCTCCCATATTGAGTCCATTTTCGGTTCCTCTCATGTGAACTGGAGGTCAGGACATTATCTGATCTGTGGACCTGGAAAGAAGAAATGAAGTCATTGTATGACTCATGAAGGCAGATGTCTGGTCATTCTTAGTTTACACTCAACTTGTTTTAGGCATGCTTTGTCTCTGTTTCCCCCCACCCCCAACCCCACCCTGACATTTGCTTCTCCTCTCCCTTCATTGATATAATTTACCCTCCAATGCAATAACCATAAGACAAACTTCGTTTTCCATATGAGGTGATCTGTATTGAAATCCTGGAACTTTGAAAACATTAACCCTGCACCATGCCGTGAGCTTTGAGTTTCTCTGAGTTTTAGTGATATTATCTGTAGTGTGATATATTGTACTCCCCCCATAAACCTGGTGGGTGTAGTACATGAAACAAAAGGCACAGGACACTGGTTGAGAACATGGATGCAGGATTGTGAAAAGACTAAGCAGTTCTGTCCCCACTCATGCCGCTAAATCCGCAAACTTTTTCTTTGTCTACTTTGTCATTAGGGCTGGAGCAGTGGCACAGCAGTTAGGGTGTTTTCCTTGCATGTGGTCCAAAAGGCCGACTTGAGTTCGATTCCTCTACCCCTCTCAGATAGCCTGGCAAGCTACCTAGAGTATCTTGCCTGCACGCCAAAGCCTGATAAGCTACCCATGATGTAGTTGATATGCCAAACACAGTAACAACAAGTCTCATGATGAAGACATTACTGGGCAAGCTCGAGCAAACCGATGAACAACAGGAGGACAATGCTACAATGCTACTTTGTCATTCAGCCTGTTATGCAGAGAACTCAAGGAAGAGCCTCAAAATCAGACATCTCACCTTTTTCGATAGAGAACACACCCATGAATGTTGCAGGAAGCATTGAGAGGTCATTTCTACAATGCTGAGAGCAGTGGCACAGGACCACATTGCTCCTCCGAATTCTGCAGTGCTGCATGATCTACACTTTTGGAGGACAGGAGAAAGAACAGTTGCTTAATCCTCAAAGTAAATAGGAGAATTCACACAGGAGGCACAGAGTAAAGAAAGCACTTCAGTGAGTGTAGGTGATATAGAGGCAGGATGTAGACATCAAAGCAATGATGACCAATGACTTGATTCCATTGGCAATAGGTAAGCAAGTCTAATTATGAATTTGAAATGTTTTTACTGGGCCAAGGAAAAAAAGACAAAAATTAATGAACACCCCACCGAGTGGAAGATATTGACATATAATGCTTTGGATAACAGACTAACACTCAAAATACATAAGAACTTACTAAGTTAAGATACAACAGTAACAAGTAAAAGTCACCCCATCACAAATAGGGAGATGAGCTAAATAAGCATATCCTTGAAGAAGAACATGGGTGGCCAATAAACGTGTGCAGAAACAGTGCTCACTTTCCCTTAATGTCAGGAAAATACAATAACAATGAGATATCGCCTCACACCAGTGATAATGTTACACACACAAATGTCTGAAAACAAATCTGGAGAGGTGCCGTGAAATAGGAACCCTCATTCACAGTTTGTGGAAGTATCATCTTGCCCAGTCTCCTTGATGTTCTTCCTGGGGAATCGCCCTCACCATCCTGGCTGTTGGGCTTTTGCAAAGAGCCCAAGTCCCAGTCTTGTGGAGGGTGAGCTGTTGTCAAGGGAACTGGCATTCCCTGACAATAAGTATGGCTCAAAGGAGCTGCAATGGTCTGTGGCTAGGTTTGGGCTTCGGAGGGCCAACCGAAAAATGTAGTGCCTGTAAAGCTTATTGTTCCACCACTGCAATAGCTGTAGGACTTATAATGTGTTTTCAGGTATTGTAAAGTCTTTTAAGATGGCAATACTTGGGGTGGGGGGGTGTGGGAATAGATGGAGCTAGATCCCAACTCAATAGCTGAGACTCAGAAACGGTGCCTGGTCTATGTTACATCAGGAAACTTTCTCCTTGGGGACTGCAGAGCAGAATATTTCTAGTTCACAGAATCTCAGTCCCATATACGGTGGGACATTGAGTTGAGGCACATTTGCATGAATTACTGGTCTCTGTGAGCCAGTGACAGGTATAAGAGAGGCCTGTGGTAGTGCATCTCCACTGCAGCGGTCAGAGGACACTGTGCACAGTGGCCTGGATTCTCCTTCTTGTGCTCCTCTCCCACTGCACGGGTAGGGACAGACCTCAGTGCTCTGGGGCAGGGGTCCAGTCAGTCTGTCTGGCTCCAACCCTTGTGGGATCACCGTGGTCCCTGTCCGTCACCGTAAGTGTTTGTACTTCCAGGTTCATTCTCTCAGCCTGTACTGACTCAGCCTCCCACTGTCTCTGCACCTCTTGGAAGCACCACCAGACTCACCTGTACCCTGGTCAGTGGCTTCAGTGTTGGGGACTACCACGTATTCTGGGACCAGCAGATGACAGGAAGATCCCCCCAGTATCTCCAGAGGTTTAAATCAGACTCAGACAAGTACCAGGCCTCCAGGGTCCCCAGCTGCTTCTCTGGGTCCAATGATGCCCTGGCCAATGCAAGGATCCTGCTCATCTCTGGGCTGCAGCCTGAGGACATATGACTGTCATACCTTACATGGCGAAGCTTCTCACTGTGACACACATTGATGGGGAAGTGGGACAACATCCCTCGTACCACTGAGCTGGTCGTGTAGAAGTTGAAAAATTACATATTTTTACAAATTCCACTCAGAAATTCTCTCCAGGTTCTTTCTTGTTCTTCCCCAAGAAAGACTCATAAAGCAAGGTGTAAAACCATCAATGCTACATTGAAGGTAGAATCTGCTGGGCGTTGCTGCTGCTCTCCCATGTGTGGAGTGAAACTCAGGAACATGGGGGTGTGTAGAGAGAGAGTGAGAGTGAGAGAGAGACAGAGACAGAGAGACAGAGACAGAGACAGAGAAAGAGAGATATGTGGAAGCCCACGAGGGACAAGCCAAGCTGTGGTCTTTCTCCCTTTCGGTGCACTTTTGGTCCCAGACACCACTAGGAGTCCCATGCAAGGTTTTCTGCCCCAGCCTAGACCCTCAACAGTGACTGAACCAGTAACAGCCTTGGTTTTGCAGTTCTGGGAAGTAAAACCCTAGGGATTGAAATTCACTTTTGAGGAGCCGGAGTGTTAGTACAGTGGGAAGGGTATTTGCCTTGCACGTGACTGACCCAGATTCGATCCTTGGCATCCCACATGATTCCCTGAGCAGCCCTAGAAGTAATTCCTGAGTCTCAATCCAGGAATGACCCCAGAGCAGTGTCAGATATGATAAAAAAAAGCCCCCCAAACTCCCAAACAAACAAAACAAAATTCACTGTGAGAATGGGCATCCCCCCACTCTCTCCACTGCTGTTCAATAT